GGGGGGGGGGGGGGGTTTGACAGTTAAGAGGTTAAAACCTGTAAAGTCACCTTTATTTCCAGATTGTTTTGGGTTAAGTAATCAATTAAGTAAATACGTTGTATGTAGGGGCAAATTTATTAGTGGATTGGGGGGGAAATGACAACAAAATTCTTATGTGTATATAAATATATAAAACATATGATATACACTGAAAAAATGGTGGATTTACTTGAAAACAGTTTTCACTTAGAAATTGCTATTAAATTCTACAAATAATTACAAATAAACAACAAGTAACACACTGAATTAAACATGTGAACACAGTATTACATTAAACATGGTATTATCTTGTAAAAATGTACTCCAACTTAGAAAAATCATTTTTAGAGTGTAATGCCACACAAGCAAGAGTGCTGTGTTTCTCAAATATCAGCAAAATTACAAATGTAATATTACTTTTATAAAACAGTTCAATAAGCAAGAAGTTAACATTCAGTGCCTTACATTTTTAACTCAAAACTGTCTGTTTTTGCTCTATATCGCCAATAAAAATAGTTCCAAACAAAGCCATAGCTGATCCATTGCATGTCTCAGAGCAGCTCACAGCAGTGTTTTGTTACTGAATGAATCTGCATTTTTAAATGAATTGGTTGACTGATTCAACGACTCACTCATAAAGTCAGTCACTTGCTTCGTTTCTGAATAAATTGGCTGCTTTGAACGATCAGCTGAATTATTTAATGGCTCACTCATTAAGACAGTGACTTGCCACCACCTACTGTTTTTTTTTCCAATTATTTCATATTTTATACAAAATCGTATATTTTTACTATTAAACGTGAATCATGAAATTGTAATAGCAGAATAATGCATTAATGCAGTGCAAAGATGAATTGTGTTCATTCTGATTTCAATTGATTGTACCAGCCCTGTAGTGTATTAATATTCTAATCTAATTTATTGAATAAATTAAAAGATTTGACATGAAAGATCACACATATGTTTAAAAAGGTAAAAAAAAAAAAAAGTCTCTGGAAATATATTTAAGCTACTTTCATGACCTGTTTGTATATGTTTCCTCAGAAGGTGAAGTTCATTGCTGTGACCAGCTTCCTGTGCCTGCGGTTCATCTCACCTGCCATTATGTCCCCAAAACTATTTCACCTTCGAGAGAAACATGCTGATGCCCGTACCAGCCGCACACTTCTGCTACTTGCCAAAGTATGATTCTTTTACTACATATCTACAGTAACATATCTACATAGTCACGTTGTCCAGCTTTTATGTCACTTTAATATAACACAAATCAAGCTCAGATCCTTTCAGTTAGTGGAGGATACATGTTGCACTCACTTCTGCAATAACATCCACTATTTAGGTCACAGTATAGTCACGGATTATGACCTCAGAACATTCATAGAGCTCATTACGGTTAACATATTCCATCTTACGTCATTGTGACTGCCTCGTGTGTTTCCTCAGGCCGTGCAGACCATTGGGAATATGGACACTCTTGCATGCTGCTCTAAAGAGCCATGGATGGTCTGTTTGCAGCCAGCCATACAGCAAGGCATCACCCAACTCAAAGATTTCATCACTAAACTGGTCAACTGCCATGAGTCAGAGGGTGAGCTGCGCTAAATTAGTCATCAGATGAAAAATTGAGTGGATCCCGGTGCTTGGCTGGAGACTGTGTCATATCTGATCAATCTTTAGCTAATTAAGCTCCATTTTATTTTCTTGTTGGAGCTGCAAGTTTAATTGTGTAGTTCATCCAAAACTGAACAGACCCTTAAGAGATGGAGCTGATAGTCATGACCCTAATTTTATTCACTTCTCTTGCTCTTGCTCTCTCTCTTGTTTGCTTTATTTTTAAAACAGATCTTGAGCTTCAGACACGAATGAGTCTCCAGTGTGGCTCTATGGAGAAAGAAGGCTTCCTCTTCCTTCACAGGACCAAGGACAAGTGCATGCCCATGACATCACCCTTTAAGAAGTACTATGTCACACTCAGTAAAGACACTCTGTCGTACTCGCGGACGCAGCACTCTAAAGTGAGCAGCAAAATATTCATTATTATTATTATTATGAGATCAACATTACTCCTGACTCGTAATGGATGTGTTTTTTTATTTTACTTACAAATAACCTTTATGTATAGGTCTGATCATAAAATAATAAAATCCATAATAACAATTAAATATTATTTCATCATTACAATTTTTAAAACTATGACATTCTACACTACTAATATTTTACTATATTTATGCTGTTATAGTTTTATTGATATTTTGAATTAGCATTTATTTTATATTTTCACATTTTTTATTTTAATTTTAGTTTCATTTTTTAGTAATTGTGTTATGTGCTTTTGTCATTTGTTTTATTATTATTTTGTAAATATGACTATTTATATTTAATTTATTTTTGTTTCAGTTTTGATTTATTTCCGGTTTATTTATTTGCTTCCCCTTAAACTTATTTCAGTGAGCTCCATAGGCAATATTTCTAAGTATAAATAAAATATAAATCTAAATTTAACAAAATATAAATATTAGATGAAAAATTAATTCCATTTTTCATCTACTATTTATATTTTAGTTTACTTCAGCTTTATTTCAATTAACTAAAATGTTTTCAATAGTTTGTTAACAATAATAATGATGAAATAAACTATTTCAATATTATTTCAAAATAGTTCATATGAATTTAGTACAAATTAATAATGTCCCTCAAATAATCTGCATTATTTACATCACTACCAACAGTTTTTCGAATGTTAGTGTGC